TGCCTTCGCTATTGGAAAATTCAGAAACGCTCCAGGAAGCCCCAGGCTTATGTTCAATGTATTGATCAAGAACAACTTCACACATCTGGCTTTCTTAATAAAAACATGCAGAGAAGCCTTATTAACCAGAGTCCTTAATAGAATCTCAATTACTAAAAGCAATCTGAGTTGATAAAGCAGAATTTTTATTTTGAGTATTAGAGAGGTAGCAGTCCTCTGATGTTTGCTGGTGCTTTAGTAAAGAAAAAGGAGAAGTTACAGATGCATCTGTTTCAAGATGCCATGTTCCTTACTGATAGTAGAAAGGATGTTTCCCTTCAAAAGCCCCTGGGAGTATTTGAACAGTCACCTGATAAGCTTGGTGTTAAGTCCGTCACAAATCCAGTATTTTTTTTTTTAAGGTATGCAATGATCACACAAGTTCATGATATTACAGAAAGCTGCTTTCATCCACAGCATAAAGCAGTGATAACTGGCTCAAATTAAGTTAATGGCTGGGAGAAAGTAACATTGTTGTAAAGATAAAAATGATTTTAAAAATTTACTCTAAATATCTGATTCTCCCCCTGCCTCCCTCCCCCATTTTGGTAGGTCTCATATGCTTATTCCTTCATCCTTTACACGCGATACTGTAAACATTGTATCAACTGTTCAACCTTTACTTTACAGGAAATGGAGACAAGTAACAATCCAAGTGCAAACATGCCAAGACTTAAGAACTGGTGGGAGCTTTGCCACTGACTCAACAGGATGAGCATTTATCTCAGTTTGTAGCACTCGCAAATCCACATCCACACTATTGGTCCCCTGGAATAACAATTTACTCCACGGGTAGCTACTGGAAAACTAATAAAACTAACTATGTAGTAAAAGACTTCTTAGAAACTGAAGAAATGAAGAAAATCTTCCCCTGGATAGCTTGTTTTCATTTAAGGTTTATTCTGATATGATAGCCAAACTAAACAACATGAGACTTCTATCTATTAAGCTCCTTGCTAAAAATATCGTTGCTCAAAAGTAACAAAACCAGTATTACTGAGCAGTATTTTACATACAACAAGAATTTTAAACATGTGTATCTCCAGCCTTCTAAAAATGTGAAGCTAACGCACTAATAACTTCATGAAACTAGCAATATGTGTATTTCCCTGGATCTGTCTGCATGCAATCCGCTTATGATCATACACTCATGATCACAGATCAACATGCTAGTAGTTACTGTACAGACGGTATGCGCAGGAAAAAAGCTCTAGTCAATACATTCAGACTCCATACTTATGTCTTTATTGCATGTCACATTTTCTGAGAAAACATCCTAGCTTAAATGAATAATCCCTTCTTACCAACAGAAGTCAATGAATTTGCTGGATTCCTAGTGGTACGGTTAGAATGTCTCCTATGAGGACTACGAGGCCTAGAGAGAAAAATGAGCAAACAAAAATTACAGGAGTATGCCACACAAAAGAAAAGGTTCTACTTGTCTATAAAAATTTAACATTAAAAAGAAAGCACTCTTCATTGATTAAAAAGAAAACAAAAAGGATTTACTGCAATTCCTCTCATCTCCAAGCAACTTAAAAACAGAAGATTGCAGAAAGAAGGAAAATTACAGACATTATCATTATCATTACGCCAGTCTACAAAGTTCTTATTGGTTCAGTAGAAACATTTGCATGATTAAAGATAGCACTACTGGTGTACATATGTAATTATTCGACCAGAATTAGGGATACAGCTACTGAATTGAAAAACGTCCATGGCAGGAAATACTTTCGAAAAGAAAATAATGCCCAATTGTACAGTTTTTGTTTCAGTTGCTCGTTGACTAGGTCTAAGTAAAGGTTAAAATTTGGACAGAAGGACAGTATTGTGCATTGCCATGCACAGAACATCAGGAATCCAACTGTCAGTCATCTTTGCAGTAGGTGTAGGGTTGTAGCGCACACGCACACCACCGTATGTGTGCAAAAGGATTTGACACAGCAATTTTATCCTCACCAGGCCGTATTTTATTTGCTAGCAAAAGGATGGACTTCAAAAGTTACAGCGTTTAGTCCAAATTAGGCAAAACTTGAACTTACATTCATTTTAGCTTCAAATTATGCTATTCTGAAAGATAAGGAAGTTCATGTAAAGTTAAAGTATACTGAGTAAGGTTGTCAGGCTTAGTATTATATGAAACTCTACTCTTTTAATATCAATTATATTCCTTGACCCCACTCCGACTTCCCTCCATCCAAACAATCATCATCAAAATGCAAAGACAATAAAATCAAATTACTAATAGAGATACAGCAATAATATTTTAATACAATATACACTTCAAAGCACTATTTTAGAAACACAGCCCCTGAAATTACTGTATAATTTATGCATAGATTGCTATTGTATTATACAGTACCTGTTAACCAGATTTTTATCAATTTCTACATCTGATGTAACAGCATTCTCTGGAAGAACAATAGAAGGTGTACTGCACGTTGTCCCTTCAACAGTAGCGTCCTGAATTTGTTGTGACAAAGATAAAAGTGTAGTTAAACAGAAATTAAAAACACCGAATATTGATGCTCTATGTGGAAAATAATATGTATTGCTCAACTTAGCTAGAAAAGAAAATGACTGCATTAGGTGAGAATGAGCTCTTATTTAAGAAAACAAACGTGAATTAGAGGTCTATACTTAAATTACTAAAAAGAGATGATGGAGACCTGGAATATCTGTTTTCTTTACACATTTTTAATGCATGCAAGCTAAATTCAATAAGCATGGAACCAATAAGAAAGCTTTAAAATGGTAGACAAACTGATTTTTCACACAGCAAACCATTCCTTTACTGAAGTACACGTACAACACTTAGTGAACTTAATTAGGCTAAATTAGGCACACGAAACCTCCAAAGGGTATTAGTGTGCAATGAAAACTTGAATAAGTGCAGTATTAAGTGTACACATGCTATCCAAAAAAGAGAAAATAATTAGAAGATTATCTTGTTAGTAATCTACTTAGTTTTCCCTACCATCAACTGGATTTTTTTAAATAAAAATGCAATATTTAATAAAATACAATAAATTTTTTAAGAGACAAAAGAAACTGGCACTGAATATCAATGTATGTTAGCCTTCTTAAAAACTATGGCAACTTGTCCTGAGAACTCATGATGCCACAATGATGCCAATCAGCTGAAGGGAAGGAACCTGTTTCCTGTGAGACATCCCAAATGGATATCCATTAAGGTGGAATAAAGAACTGTGGATTTCTCATATGTAGTAAAAAATGATTACTTCTACCCCATCTACTACATTCAGATTAACAAAAAAAATCACATTTTAAAAAAAATCAACCCCTGTACTATTGAAAGACTACATAAGCAATCCAGTGTTTACAGTCAGTCCAGAAGTTGAAAAAATTGATTCACCTAAAATAATGCACAGGAGGAAAAGTGTAGGCACCTGCTAGAAGCTGCAATTTTTATTTTAGAGTACAATCATGAGATAAGTAGAACATATCATAGCATATAGGTAAAGGGAAAGCTTCCCAACTGTGGCAGGGGACTGCAATCCATCAACTTGTAAAAGGTATAGAATAACTTGTAAATTCTCAAATCCTGGTTGCTTCTGCTAGGCACTGGTATGTACAAATATTTTATTTTATTTAGTTATTTGTAGTCTAAATATTTATTGAAACTACATCCTGAAGTTTCATAGAAAAATTTTTATTGTCATTGGACTAGAGAATAGAATAGAATAGAATAGAATAGAATAGAATAGAATAGAATAGAATAGAATAGAATAGAATAGAATAATATTTGCAGTTGGAAGGGACCAACAATGATCATCTGGTCCAACTGCCTGACCAATTCAGGACTGACCAAAAGTTAAAGCATGTTGTTACGGGCATTGTCCAAATGCCTCTTAAACACTGACAGGCCTGGGGCATCGACCGCCTCTCTAGGAAGTGATGCTTCTGAATTTTCTGAAGAAAGCACATTTGCTATCCATGGCACAAAGCCAATTGCATTCAATTGTTATAAACATAATTTTGCTTTTTCTGAAGTTGCATTTGCCATCAATTTTGCTTACTCCTTTTAAGAATATCTACCTACCAGAGGGTGACACAAGTGTAACGAATTCAGAATAATATTCATTTTAGTAATATTCATTAAATAGGCAGGTAATAAAAAGCTGTTATAAAAGCACTTATTTAGGCATTTACAGAATGAAGCATGGCATAGCTTGCAGTTTAACAAGTGAAAATTTTAGAAAAGAGAAAATTAAATCAATTATTTGATTTGAAATTAAATTTAATTATTTGAATCAAAGGCCATAAATTAATGGTTGTTTCAGTCACCTACTGTCATGTGGAGAAATTAATGTAGTCAGAAGGCTTGTTACAATAAACAAGTAGCCAGGAGTATAAATTGAATTATATACAATAGTTACATGGCTGCTAATATCTATCAGATACAACAGAACTCCTTTCAACATTCTTCCCAGTGCTGCATTTTACTTTTGTTGAAATTATGTATTTTCTGATCAAAGAGCTCCAGAAGCGTTTTGAAAATGGTATAGTATGAAAATATATAGCATAACCCTTCTTCTTCTCAAAGGCAATAAAATATGCTTTAGTCTGGACATCTGATTTAGGACTCTTGATCCTGTTGCAAACAGCATTTTTTTACTAAAATAAATACATTCCACGCAGCTCCACACTTCTATACTCATAGATCTCATTTGACATTCCTCAGCAAGTTCACATTGTGAATCACAGGAGAACAGGATGGGAATTACGTGAAGAAAATACTACAAAGTTCTAATTTTAAGAAAAATATCCTTGTAATACTGGAAATGTTAGAATGTAAAAGTATGATGTGATACAAGTGCACAACTGACACTGTAGATAATAGTTTGAAAGCAATTTTTAGTAATATTCCTGAAAATGTTACTAAGTAACAATGTATTTTGTCTAACAGTCAATGACAAAAATTCAGGTGACTGCGCAGCTTGTAGGGCAAGGCAGCCGAGTACACATGCCCATTGTTTATACTGATCTCATGACTGCCAAAAAGCAAGCGCTTTTGAGTGATGTAACATCAGCCTTAAAGTCACTCAAGTCCATTTTAGGACTCTAAAAACAGCTCATTAAAAAGAAAAAAAAAAAAAAGGAAAATGAAAAGGCTATAGCCAAAGCCTGTTCAGGTCAGGTAGAAGACATTAATTTGGTCAGCTGCTACAGCAGTTCAACTTCTACACAGGTGAAAACTCATGTCTCCTATGGCCCAGACCTGTTGTGGTACATCTGTATAGGAGAGGGACAGGAAAAGCTAGAGCCTGAAGCTCTTTGCAGGGCGAGCTGGTTTAAATTAAATCTCTATACTCTGAAGAGTACTCAGGCTGCTATATGCAGATCTTGGAAGAGAAGCTTTAACAGGAAGCTTAAGCTGTCTCACAGCTGTACATCTGCACAAAGATACAGAAGTCTTCCCTCAGACTCCTGTTGCCTGCCTGTAACTGCCCTCTCTGTGTGAGCTTCCACACAAGTCTGCTTTTCAGCTATTCCCAACTGCTGCCTCATCTTCTAGTACTGGTAACTGCCTGTTGTCAGTCCTGTGCTTCCTTCTTCTCCCAAGCTCTCCTCCCACGAAAAGCTAGGGTAAAACTGACTCCACCTCTGTGGCTGAGGTGGGAATTCATCCACATTCACTAAGGATGATTAGGTTCCATCTAGTTTTGCAGGGAGGCTTGAGCAGGGCTCAGAGGAAGGCGCATGCAGTTTGGTCCATAACAACATCCAAGAGGCTCAAGAATGCTCAGGGTGGATGGGATCCACTGAGATTCTGACTGTTAAGCTCTACCAAGCCCTCACTAAGCACACAGAAAATTTGTTTTTAAAAGTTTTATAACCTAGCCAAATTTGGATAGATTTGATGAGGGGGGGTTGGGGGTTGGAGAGGGGTCAGAATCCAGAGCCTCTCTGCTAAAAAAGCTACCCTGCCAGGACAGTCAGATGATAAAGCTTTACTGTACATCACCTAAATTCTTTAAAGCATTGGGAAGAAAAATCCACTGACACCTGGCCTTATTCTTAGAAATTAATTAAAGGTCTGGATTGAATTTCAGAACAAATTTGGCCTGAAACAGACACTTACATGTAAGGCCTCAGAAAATTGATGCATCTCAGAGAGCAGTCTTTTCAGTGAGATGGGATTTTAAATAGGCTTAATTGTAAATGTTTAAGTGAAGTGGTGAGTTGAGAGTTTAGCGAGTAAGATAAGGAAATTCAATTATAACTGCATTTAGTCGAAACAGACAGGAGAACAGACAAAATAATCATGGGACATGGCCTTCACAACAGAACAGGTAACATGTAGTGATTTGATGAAAGTAGAATACATATTTAAAAAGGAAAAAATTTAAAAAAAGAAATGCAGGAGCTTGAAAGAGGAAATAATCAGTGTATGAGAAAACTTATGAACATCTGAGACAGACTTTTCTTCAGCAGTTAGAAGAGCCAGTAAAATAGTGCTCGGATTACAAAGAAAAGAGAAAGCTGGAAATAGAAATAGGGATTTTTGATTTTAGAAGAGGGAAAGATAGCAGCTCACAACCAACCCTCAAAGTTTAGGGAGATTTACAGGCTACTATGAGTTATTTAATATAACTGGTAAGGATCTAATTTTCTTTGCCGCAGATATGTATGTATAGAAATTATATTTTTAGTACTAAAAACCTGAAATCAGTACCGAAAGTGTACTACTATATTACATTATTCTATGTAAAATAACTCTAATTAAATTCAATATGGACATGACTAAAAATACCATCTAACTATGAAGTTCTATGATGTATGGTGGAAGAAATGATTTTGTATAAATCCCTTCTAAAATGTTTAATACTTACTGTGACAAGACACCACACAAATTAAGAGTTCAACTACATACTCTTATTTCAGACAACATTTCAAACAATGAGCTAAAGTTCTTTGAATTAGGCCAACTGCGCTCACACCTGTGTTAATGGGCATTTCACATCTACTTCCCTCAGGAACACAGAGCTAATGAATACTTTGATGAATGCTGTTTAGAGTTAGTCAGAATGGTGAACATAGGCTGCTGTAAGAAATATTGAAATGGAAAATCATGTTTGTTTTCTCAAAATGAATCTGAGAAATACAACCAAGGTTCTCCCATCATGTAAAGTAAGCAAGAAACTACATGCTTCAACATTCTGTTAAATATTCTGTGACATAAGGTTAATTTTCTTTTTCTCAGAGCTGTTTTGTGAATGTTTGTGCATTTGTGCATGCAGGGAAAACGTGGAGAAGCATGTCCTGAAACTGAATGAGGAAATTGTTAGACACCAGCCAGCACTGCAGGTAAGATGAGATTCCAGACTTGGAAAGTTTTGTTCAATGGCAGAAAACAAGTCCATCAGTTGCTCACTCCTTCTTTTGTCTTCTCCTTGCTTGCAAGTCCTTATCTCACAACGATAAACAGTTTCATATAGTCATGCTGTAGAACTTGGACTGCAGCAAGACCCAAGAGTTACATCAGGTAACAAGAGCATATTCTCAAACATTGGATAACTGCAATGGAGGCTCATGAACAGTTAAAAACCTTTCACTGTTATTTTGTGCCTAAAAGTAACAATTTATCTAAAATGAAGCATTTTGCACAGTTAAATGTTTCATGAACTATCACATTTAAGACCTACATCTAAAACGCCTGTATAATGTATTAAAAATATTTTGTTTTTTTTTACATTAGGTGGTTGGAATTCTTAATTTCTTCTATTGACAAGCATGCTCAGGATTAGATTAATTCACATCTGCTAGCTTTTCTTTTCTTTTTTTTTTTTCCTCTTTGGGTATGTTTTACTCAGTAAATCAATTGACAATCTCAGGAGTGCAGATACTTTTCTTAGAATAGAAAGTCCATCAAATTGGGTGAGAGCCTAAAGCAATAGGCTATCTATAGTAGTTTTCCTTTAACTAAAGTTGGTTTTGTTATGTGTTGAATATCTCACGCTATGACTGCCATTTTTCTGAAAAACTGAAGTATTAGTTACCTGCCAGATAAATGAATAAAGTGTTGAAAACCTCATGAAGTTGTCTTTATTTATCCAGCTCGTATGAGTAGGTATTTACAGACTTTCTGACAGCTGTGCAGTTTAACTAAAATATGCTGGACCCAGTCAGATGACATTTGAGCTTCCTTAAGGAAGGACTATATCATTAAAACCTTGTTGTTAAATTTTCTACTCACTTGCTTGAAAACTTGCTTGAAAAGGATAGGTTTCTCAGTTATACTTTGAATAGGCCATTCAACAGAGACAGGTTACCCAGGAAAGTTGTGGATGCCCCCTCCCTGGAAGTGTTCAAGGCCAGGTTGGATGGGGCTTTGAGCAACCTGGGCTGGTGGGAGGTGTCCCTGTCCATGGCAGGGGGATTGGACCGAATGATCTTTAAGGTCCCTTCCAACCCAATCATTCTATGATTCTATGAAGTCTTTCGTACTAAAATACTCTTCGTGAGGGTGAGTTAAAAAAAAAAAAAATTATTGACCTAATATATGTTCTCAGCTAACAGTCTGATGAACTTGCATCCATCTAGGTTGTTTATCTTAAGCCAGGAAACTAACAGTCAGCACAATGGGCAATTTAGATGGAATGCATGACAAATCAGTGTAGGGCTCACTGCTGACAATATTTTCCAACTATGTTAAAGTAGCGGATGTTTTCACCTAAAGTGTAGAATACAGTGTCCTCAAATCCAGTGACAGTGATACATTTTCAATTGAGGATGTGCCAGATTATAAATCTTCTCTTTCTTTACACCAGTTTGTATAGAGCAGGATGATCTGGATAACTTGTGATTTTGTAATCACAGTTAGGTTCTTTACTTCAGCTAAGCTAACAATTCAACACCCGCACCCATACTTTATTAGAACATGAAATTACTTTCTATCTGTGTTGTCAATTACTCAAAAGGGAGAAGTATCATCTCTTACTGATTTTTAAAAATTTATCTGCAAATAAAATTTGAGTAGCAACATGATGAATAAGTCTGAGGAGCATGGACCTGCTTTCTGTATAGTTCCAGTATAAGTTCAGCTACTACTGTAGCAAATAAAGCACTGAGAAAGACTACAAACCAAAAAGACAATTTCCATCTTTCATACACATGAATTGCATAACGTCTTCTACATCTGTAAAAGCAAACACTGGGTGTTTCAAGACTGCTGTGAAGTACCAACCTAAGTTCTTTTCTCAGAGGTTAAAGTTTCCTGTAATAACATTGCAAAGGACATTTTTGGACAGGTTTGATATAAATGGTTCAGAACAGACATACATATAAACCTCCAGATCAAACTGATAAATAAGTGCTCGAGCAACTTCAGTTCTCATTCCTTAGTCTATAAAATATTTGAAGAATTCTAAGAATATCAACTGAAAGATCATTCATAGCTTCATCAACTATCAAAACACACTAATATATAGCAATGATTAGATGTTCTTTTATAAAGTCCTAAATGTACACAAACAGGTTTCAGCCTCGGGTTTCCAGCAAGTGCCAGAAAACACCTTTGTAAGAGTGCTTACTTTGGGTGGAGGAGAACTGCTGTGTTGTGCCTCTTTTGATTGTTCCTTGTCTTCAGGTAAGGTTGGCATGGTGGACAGTGTGAAGCACGTGGAATTGCACTGTGGACTAACAGGACCATGCACTGCTGAGAATATCTGTTTCAAGTTAGCCCGAAGGCATGAGCGCTGAGAGGCCTTGTGATCCGCAGGCTGCGTTAGATGCCAAAAATACAAATCAAATCCATTTAAAACTCTATGCTCTAACACTAAGATCACTTCACAATAACAAACAGTATTAAGGTTTAAAATTAAAAATGCTCTCTTGTGTTTTATTAACTGAAGCTTTCTAGGTCAAGTATAACTTAGTAAATGCATTCAAAATGGCCAACCTTTCATTCTTGTTGTTTCCATCTCTTCCCTCTATTTTACAGGGATTTTTTTCATTAGTATGACTGTTCTGGCTGTGATCAAGCTACCCTCTCTAAAAATCCTCTAAGAAGGAAACAGCATCTTTTAATAACTAACGAAGTCCTAATGCTACAAGAGTGTGATCTCGGATCTCAAAGAAAGGAGTAAAACTGGAAACCCAGATGGTGGCACTCTTCCTCTGAGCAAGAGCAAGGCCTAGGTGAATTGTGCAAAGACTTGCTGCACATCTGCACAAGACAACACTGTGCAAGACACTTCCAAAGCAAAATAACAGCAATGCCCAAATGGAAAAAAAAATATATCACTGCCCACTATCTGAGCAAATTCTTGTTAATAGTATCAATGGGAACTACTGCTTTCACATTAGTATTAAAGCCTGCACAGTAGTCTGAAGATGAAAAATGTTAAGTACTAGTCCTTACAGCTACAGTGTAGGTATTGCAAGACTTACTATGACACCTACCGGATAGTTATGGAACAGTCATAAATAAATCATTCGACTCCTGGATGTGCCTACAGATGACAGATAATGCAGTTATCAGAGACAATCTGGTACACAGTTTCTGTCTGGACTAGTAAAAGTCTAGGAACTGTATTTCCTTTACAGATAATTCACAGCTGTGTGTAGAATGGAGCTATACACTCAAACAGTAATACAACAACTTGAATACAACAACTTCAATAGCATGCCAAAGAGAGAAATATACCCTACAACCTCCAAGATGTGTTATCTTCTCCCAGATCTAAATTACTAACCTCATCTCAATTCTTTTACTCTTCTGGAAATCAAGATAAATGGAATAGAAGTGTTGACATGCGGAGATGATTTGAAGTTCAAGGCAGTTAGCAACATTGTAAGAGTAACCTTCTACAGCTTTCCTTTCCATTTCAGGGAATGGCAAGGAAATGTATTCAGGAACATGCCAGTTTGTTGAGGCTGACAATTAAATTGTCAGACTATTCATGTTCATTAAAAAAAAAAGAAAAGAGAGAGAAAACCATTCACAGGAAATACTGCAGCAGCCTCAGTATTGACAAGTTCCTCACCTCAGCTTTCACAGAAAAAAAATATGTGTTGGAAAACCTACAGAATGTGTGAAAACTTTAGACTACAGAAGCAGCTAAGACCCATGCTTTTATTGGATTTGTTTCACATTATATTGGAAACTTAATTTTCTCTTTTACTAGAAGAGCAATAAAAGGTCACCGCACACAAAATGTAATGCAGAACTAACAGACTCTAAACATTCTCTCTAAACAAGTATTAGCGTGTTCAGAAAAAAATTATTATTTCATTGAAATTCTTTGATAAAGATTGTGGAAAAGATGCAGCATATATGACATCATTTTGAAGACTAAGACAAAGAATTTATTTGAACAGTGAGTGTAATTTTTTCAGAGCAGAATATGCTGTAGGAACAGCATGTTTCAAGCTTTTGTAGACATTTTGAACCTGTTACGGGTGAATTTCTAGCTCTACTGCAATAAGGGGAAGCTCACGTTTGTATCATGATGTTACCCACTTCTGACTTCAAATAAAAGTAGTGTAAGCTTTCTATGAATAATAAGATTTAAAAATGTTTATTAAGGCAAAATATATTTTGCTTGAAAGAGTCCAGTGTTGCTTGAAAGAGTCCAGTGCAGAGCCACAAAGATGATGGAGGGAGTGGAGCATCTCCCTGCTGAGGAGCAGCTGAGGGAGCTGGAGCTCTTTAGCTTGGAGAAGAGGAGACTGAGGGGTGACCTCATTAATGTTTATAAATTTGTAAAGGGCGAGTGTCAGGAGGAAGGAGCCAGGCTCTGCTCTGTGATGTCCAATGCCAGGACAAGGGGCAATGGGAGCAAGCTGGAGCACAGGAGGTTCAATCTGAACATGAGGAAAACTTTTACTGTGAGGGTGCCAGAGCATGACCCAGGCTGCCCAGAGAGGTTGTGGAGTCTCCTTCTCTGCAGACATTCAAAACCTGCCTGGCCATGTTCCTGTGTGACTGCTCTGGTGATCCTGCTCTGGCAGGGGTTGGACTGGATGAGCTTTTGAGGTCCCTTCCAACTCCTCATATTCTGTGATCCTTAAAGTCCATAATATGATAGAAATAAGACATTAATGATTACATATATTTCAATAAACCCATAGAGATTAGGCAGATAGCACTAGCACTAAACATCTGTGTGTTTCAACAGTTATGTATTTTTGTATTAAACAAGTCACCAACTATTAACAACATATGACAATGAGATAGAAGTGTGGTAAATAAAAAAAGGTGACATGGACGTGCCTTTCATCTCTTTACCAAAATCCTGGCATCCTACACTATTTCTGAGTTTACAAGAACTCAAAACAAAAACGAGAAGATAGAAATTTGGCTGTTTATCTAATCCCTCTTAACATTTGGCTTATGAATTTATAATGATTCTGGTGATATGCTCAACTCACCAGGATGCTGGGCTGGAAAAATCAGGAATGTTTCAATTCATGGTTAAAGTGTATTTGTGCAGTTGTATAAGATATTGCATCAAAGTGGTTTATTTCTGGTCTTATTCTGATTTCCTAGTACATACTTAACTTTAAAAAGTAATGCAAGTCATATTGAAACAAGAAAGAGTTATTAAGCACATCAAGTTTCAGCTCATTTGTCAGATTTTAAAAAGACCAAAACTTTAAAAGAAAAAAAATTAGCAGGCTCATCTAAAAATAGAAAGGGACAAATCCCAAGCCATGTTGTCTTAGAGATGCAGCACAGAAAGTACTGCCAAGGGAGAATGGCGGGTAGAAAGATGAATTTACACCACCTTAACAACCTCCAGATTTGAAAAGGGCTGAGTTCGGTCTGTTTCTGACACAACTGGATCTTTACTCTGACTTCCTCAGAGAGCTATCCTGCAAACAGGGAAAAGCTCCAAGTCTTTGCAGTGCTGATCAATAGGAAAATTTATTCTTCTGACTTTCCATTTTTTCCTAATATCTCTCCAGAAAACCCCAGTGTTGAGGGCTGTATTGGAGCAGCAAAAGCTTGCATACGTAATTATTCATATTATGAGGTTTCGTGAAACAAATGCAGTCTTTGCACACCTTCACTGCACTGCTGCGGTCCTCTGGCATGCCAAAGTAAGAGCTACTATTTATTGGTATTTCAACAAAATATGTAAGAACATAGTTTAATTCATAAGCTATATGATTTAGAACTCCTGAATATTTTTTTCACTCTAAAAGCTTACTTTTTAACCAAGTTCTTAAAATTCCTAGACCAGATCCTTTAAAGACTTTATGGTGCTTAACCAGCACAAACATCCCATCTTATGAATGCAAATGGATATAACCAATGGAACTACCTTCTTGCTCCATCTGGTGCAAGTTCTGCCATTTCCTGTGTCTGTTACTGCCTTCTGATGTGAGTAGGAAAAGCAAAGGTTTAGAAATGATGGGACCTTAAGATATTAGTAAATAAATGTTCTTCTTCCATCATTGCTGAAGTGACCTTATGCCTAGCTGATTGGGCAGTGAAAGTAGCCCCAGGAAATATCAGTAAGAGTTAAAACATACAGGACAAGAAGGCTTCATGAGAACACCCTAACAAGAATTAGAGGAGCTTATTTGCACTTCAGAAATGTAGGAAAAAGAAAGAACTGTCCTTGGAAAAAATATTTCCCTGGAAGGTACATTTTTTCTTCTTCAATAAAGCATTAAGGAGGACCACAGCCTTGGAACCTAGAGAAATTCGCAACCCTATCTAAAATAACAGCTTCCAGCATTACTGAACCCTGAGTCAATGTGCAGAGAGCACGACTATCCTGGTTCTGAGCCTGGCTCATCTGTCAACTGAACAACCTTGGGAATCATGCTGCCATTAGCTTTGCTAGCTTTATCTCCTTTCCACAAGCATAAACATGTCTCAGCCAAAGAAGGAAATGACATGTTAACAATACATGCAATACTGTGAGATACCAACTGAAACAGCTGTAATTATTGTCCCTGAAGTTATTGAAAGGATAGATTAAAAAATATATCTTCGCTTTAACAACAGTCAAGGTGCATAAGCACATGGTAGCATCATAGTCACGGAGACAATTTCACATTTCTGTATTTCTTTTGTTTGGCAATGATCAAACTCTGTTTAGCCTACCTCTATCCTATCAAAGGATGTAATGAGATTACTGCAGTGTTTTATCAGAGTAAATTATTCCCCCCCAAATTCCAGTGTTTTAGAAATTGCAAAAGCTTCAAAATTACCTTTTAAAATTAACTACTTGTAAAGATTAACTCACACGTCACAAGAAGAGTGGATGTGGGTGAAGATCTACAATCAGTCTGCACGAGTCTTTTGCACCTGCAAAAATGAATTAAAAAAATTACCTGTCCTATTCACCACATCCTGTTTATTCCCACCCTAAGAGGAAACAACATAAAGAAAAAAAGTAAGAAAAAGAAAGAAAGAAAAAAGGATGGAGTGCGTTTTTAACATTTTGGTCTGTTATTGTAAACTTACTCTTAAAATAGTTAGGAAAAAATGATCCCCTGAGCTCAAATTTGTAGTCAGATATAGATCAGTGAATGCAGAGAACTTTCTTTTACCACTGTGTAGGCTCAGAGCACAATCTCCAGGAAATGGTGATCTGGGAGCTCTATTCCATAAAAGGGAAAAGTATTTAGAGGCCCTTGGCTTTCAGTGTGTTCTCTCTGCAATTCATTTTACCATACTA